AAAGCAGCACAAAGCAGTCCAACAGAAAGCCCAAAACAGCTACCGGTTTACACGTTATTGCAACGTTATTGCAGCTGTGGCGCTACGTGCTCTCCCTCCACTCACCTCCCCTCCCCATTCCTTGCTCCTTAACAATAAATGAGGATCTTGAGTGACCTATCCCCCTTCTAAATCGCCTCCATTATCCTCCTTTCACCGAACAGCATTTATGTGCCTCCCTTGGCACTGTGCCAAATACACCAGCAATTTAAAATGCCTTCTGTGACTTCTCAGCATGGACGCACAATGCTGACCGCATCATCCTCTCTTCCTCCAATTTTAAAATGCTGTGACAAACAAAGTGGTCGAAATGCTTTTGTGGCTAGCATTGACTTGATGTCAGTATAGGAAGCGTTTCTTACGCGTACGTGGACTTTGGCCAGCCGACAAAACTAATTTTCACAAATATTCCGTGCTGCCTGAATTTTGGTTCTTCCCACTCAACTCTCCGAGAACGGTAAAGGGATGACTGCGCAATTTGAGTTGTGCAACGGTGGGATAGAAATGGCGAGAGATAAGTCCCTCGCTCCTCAATCATTCCAACGGCTAAAAACTGAAATTTCCTCAGCTGGGTCCAACGCCTCCTCATCTAATAAACTTGACACACGTCCCCATGCGGTCATTACAACCACAATTGTTGTTGACGCAGTGGATGTGAGTCGGTGCAATGTAGGACTGAATGCTGGCCCTAAAATGCAGCATTGCAATGCAATCGCGAAGTCCAAGCCTCTTGACCCGGTTGAGGAGAAAATAAGCACTTCGTGCATGCAGAGTGAATATGTCGAAGTCGGGGACGTTCCTCGCCTTCAGAGGAGTGTGCGTGTGTGTGAGCACCTCCACCTTTTCCCATGGTGAACACGAATGCGAGAGGTGATTGTTAGCACAGCCTAGTCAAATTGACAGCTGTCACAGTACAAAACCCCGCATACAACAAATGAGCACCTTGGCCACTTGCTTGTACAATGTACTCAACTCTTCCGTATTTACTACCACTCAAACACATGAATAAAGAAAGAAGATCTAATCAAAACGACAAAAGGAGGACACAAACACACACGCACACATACTCATAGAATCCGTATGAGAAAAATAAAGGAGCAGAAAGTTCGTCTCACCGTCTTTTCTGCTTTCAACCAGTCAATGAAGGGAGGGAGGTTGCTATGGCGATAATAAATTAATCAGTCATTCAATCAGTGAAGGAGAATGTGAAGAGGGTTCGCTGCGCGACTCTGCTTTCATCGTAGAGGAGGCAGAGAGATTCAAGAGTCAGCCCGCATTGTAAGTGGCGGCAGAAGAGTTTGTCGGAGGAGGTGGCCTGAAATGGAGAGAGGGAGGAAGTGAATACAATCGCAACTCACGAAATACTACTCCTATGCAAAGTCACGTTAGGTGAGCGGAAGCTGGTCTTACTTTGCCGGACCATCAGTGCCTCTGCTTTGGGGAGAAGAAAACAGAAAAAACAATGCCACTAGGCTGTAAGCGTTGGTATTCAGTCTACAAAGTGTTAGGAAGCAGCAAGTCTGCTCTCTCATCATCTCTGTTGTTGCTGCTGCTATTATCTCTGCGAAACGAGAAGGTGAACTCACGTGTCGTCATCAGCATCAGAGGAGCCACCATCACTGGAAAAGGGCATAGCACAGAGGTAACATCGGAGTCATTAATCCATGCAGCCTCAACCCTCCCCATCCGCTAATTGTCAAGAGAATCATTGGACTGATAAACGAGTGAAAATTACCTCCAGAGGTGACAGCTGCTCGTCCAGCATTCAGTCAACACCTTAAAACTACTTCAACGACAATTTAGGCACGTGTCAAGGCGGATTCGCGCCTCAAGACAACAACAACAAACCGTCCCTGACGACACAGTGGAGAGTCGTGGTGCTCCGTTCTCACCTACCATGTACTTCATATGCTCAGATGGTGATCAGCGCAACCACAATGAGTTAGCAGAAATGAAAAGTCAGATTCAAGAAGAGTTATGAGAAGCACACAATCACTTATAAGTGCCTCAAAACAACTCAACGGAAGCGACACTTCCTGGTAGTAGAATATTTAACAAACCTTGGTGTGGGTTAATATAAGGGAAAACCAGATACAACCTCAATTTACTCATCAAAGTGCTTACCCGTAGACACTGAGATTCGGTATATGCTGTGGCGGTAGAGGTTGCTGGAGGTTGGGATGTGTTGGCTGTCCCTGCGACGGAATGGGCTGCTGCTGCCAGGCGTTCGGGTCCATGGAATAGCCATAAGCAGGGACAGGTTGGCCAAACATGGGCATCGGAGCACCATACATGGCTGAGACGCTGCCGGCACCAGTCGGGGCTACGGCGGCAGGAGGCATTGGTGGAGGAACTTAAGAGAAACAGGCAAGACAACCGATTGAACGCTCTACTCGTTCAGCCTATTTGGGATCACTCTATCCAGATAGCAGACCATTTCCTTCTTTCTTCCCACCCAGGCGATCCAATTGACACTCATCCAATTGGATTTATCCCACACTCATATTACACTTCGACGGGTAAGATCGGTAATCCGATGGAATGTCACGGAAGCACCAAATAACAATCTCATTCCTATTGCTTTGTAGCGGCTACCTTTCTACACGGA